TTTGTTGAGTTTTTCCTCTGTAATAATAATGAGGTGTAAAGTGAGACACCTGAGACGACTTTTATTTGATGTTCTACAAATAAAATTGAATCATTTATAGTTCTGCAAGATTACACCAAGTCTCATCTTGCAGTCATTTGATTTTCCAGTAAGAAGTGTCAGGTCACTTGTTGCAGGGGTCTCTAGTCAGTACTGGGGGGACTCCCTGTACACTGGTGCTGTGTAAGAAGATCAATTGAGGAAGGAGGAAAAAAAAAAAAAAAAAGTCATGTTGAATTTATAATACTTTATTTACATCTTTATTAATCACATCTTTCAGTTTTGCTCTTGATATTCAAGCAGCACAAAATGACAAAATTGAGAAACAAAGTAAAAGAAAACTTGCAACACAAAGATGACAGCTTTTGCCCTCCAACATTGAAGGTTGTTTTTGAGAAAAAACATGGCCACACAGAGGAGGAGGAGCTGGAGCCTGATATACAGAGACAGAGCATGAAGGTGGATTAAAGACAACAGCAGCTCACAGAGTAGCAATAACGTGACAACAAAACAGGATCAACACACAAATGTGACTTCAAGTACAAGAGATAATTAGCAGCTTTTCCATCAGTGCAGGACCAAAACTAAACCATGACGTGGGTGAGAGGTGCTCCATCTGATGCAGTTTAACATAAAGTGCCAACAGTAAAACCATGCTCGGGTCAAAGTGTTCAGCTGGACGAGCCACGGACACGTTCAAGAGCAGCCTGGAACTGTCAACACTTCCGAGGCTGGTTCTTCTCAGGTAGCAGGCCCCCCCCACCTCCGCAAAGAGATTGTGGAAGGGTGGATGCAACTTGGATCAAGGACCAATCACATTCCTTTATTTGATCTTCAATTAAAAAGACAAACGTACTGGACACTAGAAACCACACATATGTCACTGCGATAAATTCATCAACGCATCATAAGGTCCGGACAAAGATGACGTCACTGGGGTCAAGGCGACGGGTGAGTGGATCTCATTTGTTTCGGATCGGCAGAGGTCAGTACGGGTTCCACAGGAGCTGGTCAGAAAACACAGGAACCTGCTGGTCATCGGAGCCAAAATCTACAAGGAAACAGAGTTAGAGATTAACCATACATCAGAACAGAAAAACAAGGCCGCAGTGACACTCTCATAGAAACTTGGTGTCAGTGGTGGAAAGTAATCAAGTACTGTACCTAATCGTTCACATAGTTTTGAAAGTGTGCTTCTCAGTGTGATGAAATGCACTGAGAAAACGCATGTGCCACTCCACCACCGTATGTTGGTTTTATGAGCTGAATGACCTGAGCAACCTCACCTTGGGCATGGTCGGCCTCCAGCAGGAGGTGCAGCCAGTCGGTCACACTGTCGGTGGATGGCTGACACCCGAAGAGGCCGGGAGGTGAGCGCAGAAGTCTGTGGCCCATCTCAGCCTCCTGCCAGAAAGAGAACCAGCTGGGAAAACTTCAAAGACACAGCTCAATTGTGTTCAAAGTAAATGATTAACATAGTTTAATCACCAAGGTTTCAGTTTCTTATAAAACTTCTGTAGTGGAGCCGATTTGTCCAGGAATATGGAAAGAAACTCTAGGAACTTGCTTTGTGTTCCCACAAGTAAGGATGAAAAATTCCAAATGAGAGACTGCATTGACATATCAGGCTTTAACGCTCATCTCTGACCTTGTTCTGTTGCGGATTTCCGTCCGTGTGCATCAGTGCCATGTAACCAGCTCTGGTGTGAACACCGCCAAGCTGCTAAACTGCCACACATGCACAGATGTAACTGAAATGTGAGCCACGTGTGCACAAGAATAACAACCAGGTCACATGTTCAATGGTCAAATGATGGCGACAGGCCGCATGTGCAGAGAAGGAGACGTTAAAACAACCACATGGATTCTGATCTGACCGTTGTGACGGCGGATGCACAGTCAGAAGTCGGAGAAGAATTGGGTCTAGGAGCCCATATGCTAGTGGCCCAGATCTGGTCTGTTCATACTGCTGTGGACACACCAGGTCTGAGGCACTGCTGCTGGGATGTTTCCAACAGCCTACAGAAGCTGCTGGAACAGACATAACATTACCTCAGCTGTCTACCACTGATCAGCACTGTTACCGGTGAAAGTGGGACGGTCCAGGGTCCAGGCAGCTCCGGTGGCGTCCCGGCTGACAAAGGAGACACAAAAGAAGCTTTCGAGGCTGTTGGAGTCTGCTTCTCTCTCTCAGTCTCTGCTCTGTCCTCACACAGGTCAGAGGTCATCTTTGCCAGCTGGCTCTGCCTGAAATAACCATAAAAAGAACATCATCGTGAGTCTGTATAATACTCTACACAACTGGTGCAAAAACTAAATTCAGAGGAGAAAAGTTACTGGCTGAGTATGAGCAATATTTATCAAGTGTAAAAGTCATGTTGAAGGTGATCACATGATTGATCAGAAAAAGAATAGCCAATCAGAAACATGGGCTAAATCCCAATTCCCTTATTTGATCATTCCTGACTCAACATGAAATAGTGGGCAGGACCAAGAAAAGATGGAGCTAAGGGAATAGGGATTTACCCGCAGGTTAACTGTACATTTGCCATATTGTGCTTTTTTTATTTTAAGTAAATTGTATTTGTGTGTAGTTTTTAAATCTCTAGGAATAGTGGACATGGGACACCAACATCAGTCCAATGTATTAGTCACTGGATAGGGCTGAATTAACAGGAATTTGTTTGAAATGGATTACGCTCTGCTGTTGGTAGAGGAGGCACATTAGAGAGAGATCATATGGCCATAAATGAGAATTTGGTGTCACACTGATCAGACAATGAAGACCGAGTGCAAATGCCTGATAAATGAAAGAAAGAAGGGGCGTGACATGAAGTAACCAACAAAGATCAAACTACTGTATTCTCACTTAAATTGCCTCAGTTAATGTAGCAGCAACTACATACTGCACCTCTGTCTGGAGCAGGCATCTTGTGACTTTTACTTTAGAGAGTGAATACATCACAATAAAGGGGAACTTTTTTGGGTACCTGACTGAGTGGGACAAAAACATGACATGAACTGAAAGACGCTGGTCAGATTAACCAAGGAAGGAACCAGCAGAGTAAAACAGTGGTGAGCTGCAGCAGTAGCTCAGACACACTACACCACTCAGTCAAACAAGTGTCCACCTACAGGTGCTCCACTGGGTCCTGTGTGTCAGCAGTGTCCGACTGGTTGTCGGTCAGAGGGTCCCACAGGTGCAGCGCTCGCCTCCACAGACGCACCTGCATGTCCCAGGAGCGCCGGCTATACTTCCTGTACTTGTTGGGAGTGGACGGGTGGAGCTTGGGGTCCCTCAGGTGTCTAAGCAGGAGGAAAGGTCAGAACTTTCAGAGCTGAGACAACTGACTGTTTGGCTTTTTTTAAATCATTCTGTATTTATACCCAGAAACACAGGTCTGACAAAGTGGAATCACTCCCACAGCTAAGTCTGACAAGTCAGTCATCAGTTTGCTCAGTGAAGAGCTATGTCATCGGTCACCAAGTCCCTGTGGGTCCTCAGGACATGGCAGTCTTACTGAATGATGTGTGCATTGTCTGTGTGTTCGGACTCAGAGGAACCAGCTCCAACTCAAAACCAGCTCAGTCTCTGACAGTTTGGGGCATCAACCCTCCACATGTCCAGCTGTTGACAGCCTTTGCATCATACATCACAAGTCCACAGCTTTGTGTGCGTGTGCGCGCGCGTTTGCTCACTTGGGGACTTGCTTCAGGTAGTTCTGGTAGCCACAGGTGTTCTTGCCGTACTGGATCTGTTTCTGCCGCCGCTTCAGAACAGCAGCATTGGTCTCGGTGTTGGCTGGGTCCGGTAGGCGGGGGTAGCAGCGGCTGAGCGGGACCCTGCAGGGACACGGGTCCATGTAGTATTAGCCCTGCTATCCTGCAAATTAGCTGCCCTGTTCATGATTGAGTTTTAAAATGTGCAAGGTTCAGAGTGGACCGACCTCTTGTCCAGGTCATCGGTCCCCACCGCCACACTGCTGGTCGACACTTTGAGGATACAGCGCTCCAGGATGGATGGCCTGAAGGTAAACAGACAGAACATGTTCAACCCATTAAAATTCAGATTTATTTCAGTTTTAAAGAAATGCTGCCCCATGCACATTGTAAAAATAAAAGGCCAGTTTAATTTTAAGTTGATCCAGTCCTTCCTTAAAGACAGATCTGACACTTTGGAAACATACCCCATTTCCAATCCTTGCGCTCAGCAAAGCTAACCACCTGAGTTTATCAGTTTCTTTATAAATTTAGGATTTTTAGTGGGGGTGCTGCAGCCCCTTGGCAGAGGGAGGTCAGAAAGCTTTGTTAAACTGTTCAGCATTCAGTGAAATCAGCCGTCTCAGAGCTGGTTGGACACAGATAACACCATACTGCACTCGTCTCTTACATGTCATGGCTGAAAACAGTTATTCTGCAGGTTTAGGAGCCATGATAACCTGGTTATGAGCCCCATCTGTTTTCATGCAGGTGCTGTGTTGATATAGTACCTGTGTCCGCCTTCTGTTGCACTGCAGCATTAAACCCTCACTAACGTTAATTTGCTGTTAACTTAATGATAAATAATCCTGGCAGTCAAACTGATGGAATGAATCGTGTGCAGTATTACTATGACATGGAGCCAATTTCTCTCAGTGAAAAGTAAAAGTAATTCACTCGTTGTGGGACCTGCGAGCTTTGTTGCCGGCTGCTCGCTCTCGTCCTCGCTGGCCGCTCACCGGAGGAGGGGACTGGATCGGAGAAGTGTTACTGTGCAGAGAGACAGAGCAGAGTTGAGCTCCGCTGAGAGCAACAGGCCATTCATCAGCACATGCACATCAGCTCCAATTCTGTTTCACATAGTTATAAACTGCAAGCCACATCCTTGGATTTTAAAGTGGATCTTACTAAGAAAAGAGTGGCTTTTCCTTATTGTGCATTTTATCAGCTCCAAGTCAAATCTGACATTTTTATGAAACTAGATCAAGTCACAAAACTTTCTGCTCATCTGCTGGAAACAACATGCTAACAGACATTTACAGATAACTGGTTTCTAGTTTGATCTGCTTCATTAAAGCTGCACAGCCAAAAGCAGATCCCTCATCAAAGTTGTACTTACATGTTCTGTTTCCTCTCTGATAGTACAGAAAAAAGGAGACTGATGCCATAAACACTCTTCTAAACCAACGTGGTCCGACTGACTTAAAGCTACAGTTGTTTTCTGTTACACAAGTCTCATTTTCTTTTGCTGCTGCACTGAGTGAAATAAGGAAACAAGCTATGTAAAAAAAAAAAAAAAAGTCCAATTCATCAGGATTGAGGGTGGATGAAACATGCAGCTGAGCAGGTGAATGAGCTCATGGAATGTGCTGTAACCTCAGCTGAAACACTGCCAGCAGGTGAGCTTCTCACCTGACTAGGCTGTCAAAGACGGAGCTGCAGCCGGGGAGGAGCCACGGCTCGGGGGCGGGGCATTCGGGGGAGGAGGAGGCGGAGGCTGCCATCAGCGGGTCGGGGAGGCTGTTCCACATGGTGGCCGACCACTCCTTCACACAGACACAGGACCACGGGCTGGAACAGAAGCTGAGGACACGAACACAACGGCTACAGATTCATCGACACATGGATCCTTTCACTTCCGTCTGGTACCAAACTAAAAGTGTGCTCAGACCGAACAACATGACAACTAAATATGCCCCCACCACAAGCATGCAGTGACATCTGGAGCTAATGCAGGACTTCTGAATAGCCTAACCTGCTTGAGATTCCTCCTGTTTCTAAGTTTCAGTATTCAAAGTTATGTCTGTCCATCCATGGGACCACTCCAAACCGTAATTGCCAGTAGCCAATTCAGCATTCACTAAAGCAAAAATAAATACAAGGTAAAAACCTGGCTCACATTGTAGCCCACAGCGTAAGTCGCTTAATCTAAGGACTTCTCCGTTTCTCGTTAAAGTCTGCACCCGTTTATAGATTATAGGGTAGATGAAGTCATTTAAATGATATATACTGAGATTAAAAATTAAGACGGCTATGCGCTGTTCTGACTACTTTTTGTCAGGCAGCAGAGACACGGTTATACGTGAAAACGACCAAGATGAACACATTAACATTTTCATGAATATCTCTCATTTCTGTCAGACTGTGGCAGCTGGGCTGTCTTTGCAGACAGATTTTACAGACAAAAACTTTAACAGTGAAGCAAACAAAAAGACCGTATTTGCTGGGACAGGGACACCGGCCCTGAATCACGTGTATGTGGTTGTCGGTACACACCTGAAGGAGCTCTGAGATGCCGTTTCCACGCCGCTGGTTGCCATTTTTACAGTTAATGTTTGACGCCTTTCCTTCACACGGACAGACACTATCATTCCCGTTTCACAGCTTTTTAATGAGCTGCACCTGAAGGAGGCGGAGCTTGTTGCTGCCCCCGACTCACCTGGTCAGATGTGCAGTGAATCTAGAGTACTGTGGTAAAAAAGTAAAAGTAGAACTGTAAGATTTGATTCTTATAGGCTCTAGTTACTTTATAAGCTTTAGCTGCTTTTCATACCTTTAGTTCCCTTTAGTTACTTTTCATAACTCTAGTTTCCTTTAGTTACTTTTCAGCTCTTCATTTTCTTTTAGTTACTTATCATACCTTTATTTTCCTTTGCTTTGGTATTTTCCTGAGCTTTGGTTACTTTTAATACTGAAGGACTGTGGTTCTTGTTACTATTGCTAACTCTGAGAGACGAGACAGTCCAAGTAACTTCAAAACAGTGCTGATTTATTCAAAGGATCACAGGTAGTAGTCAAAACATGAAGCAAATCAATGTGTGTGTGTCTGTTGATTAAGTGGTGTGTAGCTAAAAACATTCTCTCACGACTTCTAGTAACATGTGATATTAAACACAAGAAAATATTATGGCTAAAGCTACAGTTATACACATGATAATAATAATATTAAACACCCTGTCTGCTGACAGTCATCAACGCTTCTCTCTAGTTAGCCTTGACCAGATGTACCCTGTAGAAACTCATAAGCATGACTAAGCATTTAATAGTCTAACTATACATCCTATCTCCACTAAACATTTTTAATACATAAAGTATCTAACCAATATCTATCTGAATAAAAATACCTAACATCATTATGCAAAGCACAACGAAATTTTTTCGGGCAGCTCTCGGCTTAAAAGACAGACATATTATTTACATAACACACAATTGTATAAGTCAATATAAAAATATAAACAAATAAAAAGGGATGTATGGGACCTAATCAGATCAGCAGCATGTTACAGCAAGAGTGTAGTAACATTATTAGGTGCAGCTCAGTGCAAATCTCAGTCATTAGGAAGAGGTGTGAGGTCCAGTGTTCTGTGTCTGTCCATAGGGGGAAGGTTGTGTGTGTGACTAGGGGTTGGGGGGGGTTTGGGATTGATTTCACAGCTCAATCCTGTATTACAAGTAAAAGCAGTGGTGGAAAGTAACAAGACAAGTAGATCACATTTACTGAAGTACTGAACTTAGGCTAGCTAAATTTCCTAGATAACCTGTTTGTTCTTGAGTATATCCATTTTTGATATTTTATATTTGGACTTAACTACATTTCAGAAAGAAATATTGTAGCTACTGCACTATTGTAGCCTATTTGATACCTTGAGTTGCAGATTCAGAATAAAAATAAAATGATAACTAACAATAACAATCAATAAATCATCAGCCCATGGTGGTGCTAACCATCTGACAATCTTCTGGTTATTATTTGCACTACTGTCACTGATTTAGTTACGGTTAGTTTTATCCTAATTACTTCAATTTAGTTTTCTTATTCTTTTTTATTCTACTTTTATTCTATTTTAGTTTCTTAAATGGTATGCTATTCAATACTAGGTGAGAGAGAAACGGTATTTCGATTTTCTGTATGTCCTGCACATATAGTGGATTGACAATAAAAATCTTTGATCTTGATCTTGATCCTTAAATGCTAAAGTAAAAAAAAGAAAAGGTGGTGTTATACCCCAGTTCTTTTATTGGACAGATCTGAGTAAGGAAGGAGTCCAGGTTCCATTCATGCCCAGCCTATCTATCCATTTATGTACTTATTTGTGTATTTATTAATTTATTTATTTACACACACAGCACAAACACAAAAATAAAAGTCTTCTATATAACCGTACGACATTAAAAAGACGCTTTTGTGCAAACTTGTAATAAACACCATAATAATAATAATAAGAAGAAGAAGACGCTTTTGCGACAGTCGTATTCTGCGACTACATAAACAAGATGGCGTCGGGTAGCGGGGTGAGTTCCTAATCTGAGTTTGATTTCTATGTTACAGGTATAAAATCACTCTATTGTTACGTGGTTGTAATTTCAGCCCGTGTGAGTCTGTTTGTGTGAGCTGATAGCGGCTTAGTTTGAATCAGTTTAAACGGGTTTGAAACTGTGTTAGCGTTTAAGGGTAGCTCGCTTGCTAATAGGCAACATTGTACAAGTGTGACCAAGTGTCAGGTTTGTTTTAAATATAGCGGAGTTTTCTTGATGCTACTCTAATATTTCATCAAACATCGGTATGTGTGTTTGTGTCATGCTGCGCCAGTAAAACGGAAAACAATCTGCTAAATGTTAGCCTGATCTCCGCTAGCAGCAGCAGCAGGAACAACAGTTTTCCGGCCAGACCCCTTCAAAATGTCTAGCGCTGCAATGATATATCAGTTAGTAGATCGGCAGAAAAATATGCAGCACCTATTTTTTTAAGAATCGATTCAAAGTTGGGTTTTTTGGTAACTTTTCAAGCAAAAAACTGAAACAAACTATTTGTTCAGGGATTCTTCCTCAGATCAAGAGAGGGAAAAACACACGACCAGTGAAAAGAAACACAAAACAAGTCATCAAATAGATCACATAAAATATCAAATAATAAAACATTAAAATTGCGAAGACTAATCTATCTCGGCATGCAGGCTTTAGTGATATATTTTATTGATGAATATCAAATAATATTCTCTGCTTCTGGCTGTTTACATGTGAATATTTGCTGCTTGTCTTTGTCTTTAAATAAAAAACATCTTTTGCATTGTTTACACTTTTTTTGGGTCTTTCTACATTATTAGAACTGCTGGTCCAATAATAAGAACTGCCAAGAAGTTCAAATTTTATTTACATATAACTGAGCTTTCTTCTTCTCTGATTTTGTGCCTTCTGTGTCTTTTCTTTCAGTCCAGTAAGAATGACTTCCGTCGGAAGTGGGACAAAGATGAGTATGAACACCTTGCCCAGAAACGCCTGGCTGAGGAGAGAGACAGAGAAAGGAGAGATGGTGAGAAGATTCGAATATACTTGGAAAGGTTGACTCAGGTTGCACAGCTGATTAGGAGATTTCAGGTTGAACAGACTGCCAGGAAATTATTCATTAAAAGAGGGAAATTGTTGAATGTTTAATTTGGATGCAAAAGCATATTGTTTTCATATTTTTCCACACTTTGTTTTATTTTTTTCTCTGTTGTATACTAAGAGAAGGCTGCTGACTTTTACACATCTTCTTGATTCTGAGCTGAATGAGCTCCACATGTTGGTCTGATGCTCATGAAGTAGAACTGAGACTCTGTTGTATCTAATCATCAGTTGCTCATTTGGCTAGAGAAGAGTCTCACGATATGTGACAGCTTGTCTGTAGAGAAAAATGTGGTGTCCTGTGTGCGGAGGAAGTCTTTGACCCTCTCCCCACCTCAACGCTTCCCAGGCTGGAGTCATAATAATAATAATAATAATCATGAACCATTTTCAGACAAATCCTCTCTGTTTCTTTCTCTCAGGGAAAACGGTTCCACCGGTCAAGCGGGACCTCCTACGCCACAGAGACTATAAGGTGGATCTGGAGTCCAAGCTGGGGAAGACCATTGTCATTACCAAGACCACTCCTCAGGCTGAGATGGGCGGGTAGGACACATCATGACACCTTGAGGTGTTGTTGGCCTGATGCTGACACCACAACCCTAAACCCTCAGCGCCTGGTTAAAATGTGACACACAGACATGGCACTTGCACTTACTGAGGATGTGATATCTCATGTCCATCCAGAACAAACCTCTACAGTCCTGCTTAGATATCTTTCAAAAAGACCCTCCTTACAACTTGCCTGACAATCAGCGGGCCTCTTAAGTTTTCTTCAGTAGCAAAGACCGACAGTTTTCAGTGCATCCAGTGGTTGACCTGGAAACAGGAGGATCACAGTGTATTATCATTCTCAAAATGTAAACAAATACAGACTTAGGCTGGAGTCCACAGCCTGACTCATCAAATCCATAATGTCTTACTTCCTCTTTCTTGTAACATGTAAGTTGGCACATGTTCATATAAACAAAGACTTTTAATGTAGCATTACAACCCAAAGCACAGTCACTGTAGTCATGTATGTGAAACAGCAGGAAGTGGGTTTAGTTTGAGTTCAACAGAGGCCACTCTCTAGCCTGTGCTAAGTGACACAGTCGCACATCTGTTCTAGGAAACAAGAATGAAACGGTGAGACACCACCTATACTGAGGAGTCTCATCAAATTAGTTGACTAATGATGTGCAGATAATTTTCATATCATTTGGCCTAAAAAAGATCAATGATGCTAAAAAAAGACTGAGATTTGCCATTGGACATCTATGATGCTGCTTCCATAGCTTGTCTGTGCTTTAACACAATTGCTTTGCATCCATTACAAATGAAAGAGTTACTCACAAATCTTTTCCGTCAGATGAAGAGTTTGACACTCATCTCTGAACAAACATGAATAATCTTCCTTGAACACAGCAGGTCTGTATCTTGCAACATGAGTCCTTCTGTAGCAAAAGTGCAGTGTGAGAGAATATCATCCAAATCTGGTGCAAAGATCCAGATCACAGTTTCAAGGCAACGCAGCCCCCTGCCTTCCACCTGCTGCATCATTCTTTTCCCACCAGACTCACAGAAACAACACTAAAGGCACTCTTCACCATCAATGGCCATAATGCATCACAGTGTATTTGAATTATACCAGCAGCGTGTGCACACAACTGCCTTTCATTTACAGAGTGAAAACTTGTCTGTAGCAGATTGTACAGATTACACAGCAGCAGTCAGAAGGCTCACTCCGGTGGGAACGTGTGTCCAGACTCCCGACTGCTGCTGTTATTTAATGTGATGCCGTATTCTAACAACCAGCAGCTGGTGCTGTTGTGTTCAAACGGCTCCTTCAGATTTTCACTTCACTGTCACACGATCTGTTTCCTGAATTTTGATCCATTACCTCTTGAAATACAGTAGTGTGTGGTGTCAGCACAGGTGTCACTCAGTTAATTTTTCGTCTCTGAACACGTGTTTTTATCTAATTTGAATATCGAATGTCAGCGGCTGATTCCTCCTTTAAATAAAACTTTGTCTTCATCTATTAAAAAAAAATCCATGAAATCAAAAATGAGTTGCTTGATAAATGTTTCACCAATCAGAAACTTTTCTCAGGTGCCACTCGAAGGTTTTGCTTATTGCTTCACTCTGATTGGCTGACTTCTTCTTCTTCTCTTCCAGTTATTATTGTAATGTCTGTGACTGTGTGGTGAAAGATTCCATCAACTTCCTGGATCACATCAATGGCAAAAAACGTGAGTTCACATTGATGAAGCAACTGAGGATCAGTCAGTTCATGGCCTGTAAACGCCCTGACTCTGTGTGTATGTGTGTTGTTGTTTTTGTTTGTTTGTCTGTGCTTACGTGTGCAGACCAGAGGAACCTGGGTATGTCGATGCGGGTGGAGCGCTCGTCTCTGGACCAGGTGAAGAAACGCTTCGAAGTGAACAAGAAGAAGCTGGAGGAGAAGCAGAAGGAGTATGACTTTGAGGAGCGCATGAAGGAGCTGCGGGAGGAGGTGAGGGAGGCGTCAGGAAGCCCGCGCACTCCACAGTGTCTTCAGATGGAAATAAAATGGTGGTGGAGCAACAGCTACTTAGCAGAGAAATACACATAAATAAACAGTTTGACATCATGCACTATTTCACATGTCCCACGCTGTGTAATCCAGGTGATATGCTGACTGGGCACATACCTGTTGTAAGGCGGCCAAGTGCTCCCAGGATCATGATGGCCTCAGCAGCTGTGACATGTACAAGTTGAACAGCTGTGAAACCACAGTGAATATTTACTTTGGGTTCGCATCTCCAGGTCTCAGTTTAATACCAGATCCAGGCTGATCCCAGGAGCAGGAGCACTAGGGTGGAGAGGGTTAAAGGATTCAGGAAGGAATCAGGGTCTCCCCTAATGATCAGAGCTCCTACGGGACAGTTTGTTAGCTGTGAAGGTGGAGCTGTGATGGAGGCGGTTTCAGAGGACATCAGGTTTACCAGAATGTGGTGTTGTTTTGTCAGGAGGAGAAGGCGAAGGCCTACAAGAAGGAGAAGCAGAAGGAGAGGAAGCGTCGGGCGGAGGGCGACATGGACTTTGAGGAGGACGACGAGATGGCAGCAGTGATGGGCTTCTCAGGTTTCGGTTCGTCTAAGAAGAGTCACTGACGCTCTGCAGCTTGGCTCCACGCTCACAACCACCTTGCACAAGGACACGAAACTGGTTTCTGCTCCGCCCCCTGTCAGTCAGAGGGGTTTTAGACCAGAACCAGACTCCAAACCCAGGAAGGAGGAGTCCTGCTGCAGCCTGCACTCATTGCTCCACTGTCTGCTCACTGTCCTGGTTCAGACTTATTCTGGTAGTTTAATCCATCGCTCTGTCCATCCTGATGACATTAACTCAGCAGCTTCCTGTCGAAGATACAGGTGGAGACGAAGGTGAAGGTGAACATGTTTGTAATAATGTCGTAGTGAACACATTGGTTTTCTGTCTGCAGTGACGCTGCTGAGTGGAACGTCATCAGAACGAACATGAGACCAACAAACTGCAAAAAGTTTCCTTAAGTTCATACAGAATACTTTGAAAAAGGTAAAATGTGATGTTTTGACAGAGTATCATACCAATTAGTTAACAGAATTTGACTGTTATGTGCAGCGGAGAAGGAAGCAAAGCTACATCGACTACAAGAGCTGAAGAGAAATAAGTCACATTTTAATTTAAAAATTATTTGTGTCATCAGGATATAAAAAGCTCAAAGAGCCACGAGTTCAGTTGTTCACAGGGGCCACTGGAATTTTAATAAACACTGTTTTGTTTTTTTTTGTAAATGGTTGTCCAATTTCTCAGCTGCTGTTGTGTCAGTGAAGGCACCAGGCCACCTGTGTGTTTGTGTTGCCTTCAGGGACCATTTCACATCGACCTTGTTTTAACACTAAGGTGGCCCCGAGGCCTTTCACAGCCACTGGTTCACCTGTAAACTTGTGATGACAAATTTGTGTGTCTCTAGTTGAACCCTTCATGTTCAGTTTGAGTTGCCTCCATTGATGTGTTCTTCCTGCCTTTATGCACGGTACCACTGCCATGATGCAACAGGAAAGACACAAGCTGTTGACGCCAAGTTAAAGATAACACTGCTGTCATCATGAGTTAAAGCTTCACTTCACTGTAATTAAGGAGATCATATCTGATGTGATGCAGCGCCGTTAAAACGCTGGGCTTTACTCACCCTGGTTATTGTCATTAGTCAAAAAACTGCAGAGGTGGAAAGTAACTGAGTACATATATGCCAGTACTGAATACAGTTTCAGCTATTTGTACCTGAGTACACATCCTGCAACTTCATACTGTGACTTCACTCCATGTCAGAGACAAACCATGTACTTTTTACTGTACTACATGTACCTGAATACATTTCAGAATTCCAGAATCAGATGAATCAAACCAAACCCAGTAGAATCATCAGACTCTATTGATCCTGGTTGGAAATCCACCAGCTACCCAGCAGGGTGGAAAGTACAGCTCCACCTTTACCAGCTGCAGCATTAAAGTGATGAACACAGTAACACATCAGTCACTATTATCCAGTGGTATCACAGACCTTTGTACTTTTACTAAAGTAATATTTTGTAACAGTATATTTTTACATTGTGGTAGTACTACTTTTACTGCAGTAAAGGATCTGAGTGCTTCTTGCAGCACTGGAAAGCTGTAAGAGGTTCACGAAGAGACCGGTTTTGTCCGAGCGATAGGTACCAAGTTTACTCATATATATAAGCAGGAAAAACACTAAATTCTCAGAACCACATCCATCAAATATCTGGTGTTTTTTTCTGGAACAGTGATTCAGACCGGCTGCAGCTCTGCTCTAATTTGAGCCTATAACAACATTTGTGAGATCAGACTGTGGAGAAAAGTGTTAACTCTGCAGAAATTGAAGAGTGACTGGGCCGATGTGGCGACGTGGCAGTTTCAGTTGCTCTCGGTTATGGGTGAATTAGTTTCTCTTTTTTTTTTTGGTGCTGGGGGATGAGACCAAGTCTGATCAACAGGAAGACACAGAGGAAGTTTGCTGTCTTCCCCTCAACATGTTGCTGATTACTGACCAGGCTGAGATGGCAGCAGCAGCTGCTCATCACAGCTCGTTTCACATTAGTGACGAAGAATTCACATGAACCCACTGATGCCACATGAAAACGTCCTCACCTGCCTCCTCACACCACTGCTATAAGAAGTACTCAGATCCTAGATTTAAGTAAAAGAAATACTCTTACAAGTAGAGGTCCTTGTACAGTTTACACCATGGTATTACTACTCTGTATTTGTGCTCAAATCCTGCAGGAAAAGTAAAAACCAGTGAAGTAGGTGCAGTATATGAGATATTTCAGAGGGAAGTATTGTATGTTTTACTGCAATACATTTGTTTGACAGGTGTAATTACTTTTTAAATGAAGATTTACATTAAAAAATATCATGGGATATAAAAATGCAGTACAACCTGTACAAAACAAAGTCACAGCCATTTCTAGTTCCACCAGAGATATTTCACATTTAAATCAATGACATGTTTCAGGTACTATAACTGTTTGAGGTCAAATACAGTAAATGTATTCAGTGAAAATCAGAGAAAACTACAAACATAAAAACGCTTTAGCACACAACATTTATTTGTTCTTTCCCGTTAATTATATGACGATCACTAAATGTATCCACTGGAAGGTAAAATTAAATAAAAAATTATGCTATTTATGCCTTGATGCATTAAAAAATATCATTATTTGATAATGATTTGTACTTGCTTTTAATGAACTCTGCAGATTGAAAGGACATGAGGGGCAGTGGCTTTTAAATAAGATTTTGATTGAAGGCCCTTTACTTGCAATGGAGTGTTTCTATAGCGTTGTATTGTGTTGGTACTTTTATTTGAGTAAAGTTTTTGAATACTTTTTCCACCATTGCAAACTCCAGCCTCCACACAGGTAAACCAACACCTTTGTGAAACAGTTTGAACACAGCCTGAACATTTTCACCTTCATGAAGGAAGATTTACTACAGGACTGTTGGGTTAGACTGAGACTGGTGTTCCCAATAAACTAACCACTGGGTGTACGTCTATGAACTCCCTAAATAAAGGTATAATCTTCTCTCAGACAATAAATAGGTTTTTAACAAAGGACCCCCATGTGTACAGCTACATTCTACAGCAGTGTGTTAGAGGATAAATCACTTAATAAATGTTTGTCTGGTGCTTAGAAAGGCTAATGGGAACAGTCTGAGCTCAGTGCTGGGACATGGTAACAGTCTGAGATTATATTAGATGAAACCTTAATTAGTCCCACAGTGTGGAAATTGACATCTCTGCAGCAGCAAGGGTTCAAAAACATTACTTAAGATGCAGAATCTGATCCGACATTTTATTTGCATTTTCACACTGCAATGGCTCTGTTACCGTCAGCAGCAACCACTGCTTCTGCATGTGGGCATTTATTTTTATGTCTGCACTCCCAGCATGCACCTCTCTCAAAAAACTGCATGTCTCTGAGTCACCACGATGAGATCTGGCCTCATGAAACCCACCTGAGAGCTGGTTGTGCTTCCTCTGTGCCATCATCTCTGGAGCTCTGTGATGAATATGCTGAAGTGTTCTCAGTTTCAGAAGTAGGCACCATGACCGACAAAGGAGGAAGGAGATGAGGGGTTTTCCTGTGATGGTCTTAAAAAAGAGGAGCTGAAGTAACTGTGAGACAGGAAACCAGAAAATATATCTTTAAAAATGTGTGTGAAGTTTGGAAAGTTAAGATCTTACTGCTGTAGCTCCAGACAGACAGGAAGTGCTCCTCAGTAATGCAAGGACATGTTGACCTGGTGAAACCTGGAACAGACCTGGACCTTCAGCGGGATGTTGCTGCAGAGCTGAGGAAAGGCAGAGACACTGAGTGAGGTGGATTAGAGTCCAAACTGGTCCTGACTCAGTGAGAACACACAGAAACACGTGTTGGTCTGACTCAGTGTGATGTCCACCTCCTGAGCATCTCGCCACCTCTGATGTCCCTCCACAACAAACCTCCATGAACCCATAGAGAAACAAGAGGAGCAGAGGCTGCAGAACCTGCCTGAGACTCCTCCTGTTTCTAGGTTTCCCTCGGTGTCCCAGTGTTTCAGTGGCAGCTGTGTGGACGTCCACATGGGAGCTGCTCACTGTTTGATCTGCTGCTGCTAGCTGGGGCTGCAGCTAGTGATTAATTTCATTATTGATTAACCTGATGATCACTTTCCCAACCAATCAGTCACTGAAAAGATAGATAAAAGAGACTCATCACAACTTCTTCTTCTTCTTTTAACTTCAAAAATCAACTGAATATGGACTTTGTCCAGTTGTATCATTACATCTTATTCAGGTACTTGTCAGATACATATAAAGGAGTAAAGGCTGCAGTGTTTCCCTCTGAAATGTAATAGAGTAGAAGTATAAAGTAGTGTGTAATTTTAGCAGCAGGTGCAGTATTTAAACCTCATCAAAGGTGCAGTTCAAGGTGTTGTCCATATTGGACAACAAAAGCAGTGGAGTAAATTAAGTTTCAGGGCAACAAACTTCAGAAAAGGTTTAAGTTAGTTTAACAGTTTATAGTTAATCCAACTTGTAATTTTTACTTCTGTTAACTCATTGTTAAAGTGACTCAAAACTGTGAGTTCATTCAAAAGTCTGGTTACATAAAAAAAGCTGAGATTCTTCTGACACGTCTTACCCATCACGACAGGTTTGTTGTACTGGGAGCTGTTACCATGAGCCCAAGATTATTATTCCTCAGACAAACTCCAACAACTCGCTTGTGTTGGCGTAAAGAGATGAGCATTTGTTGACATCATTTTCTTTAACTGCTGATAATTGAAGTTCCTAAGTGCCGTTGGCGTAAAGAGATGAGCATTTGTTGGCATCATTTTCTTTAGTTCCTAAGTGCTGCTGTTTTTTACACCAAGATGCACTTTGTGCAGGACACTAAACAGACCTGGGTTCAGTGTGAAATGCTGGTTCTGCAGCTGCTGCAGCTCTGAAGCTGATCCAGAGTCAGCGTCTTCATCTGGTGTTTGACAGAGTTTGTCATCAGGCAGCAAGCTACAGTGAGTGGGTGCAGCAGCAGCCTGTTCCGCTCTGTGGTCAGGCAGGGAGGAGGGAGGAGGAGGAGGAGGATACTGCCTTCACCCCCCACTGCACAGTCACTTCCTCTGAGAGAGAGAGGGAGGGAGGAAGAGAGGTAAAGAGAGAAAGAGACAGAGTGGAAGGCAGAAAGAGAGAAAGAAGGAAGCCATTTTGGTTCCACAGTGACATGTCTGCCTGCTCTTTGCCTTCTTCTCTCTGGTTTCTGCCCCTCGTGAGACGCTCGGCGAGCTAGAGTGCGGTGAGTCCATTTGGGGAAGTAAAACTTTCTGAAGACAGTTGGCAGTTACTTTATCTTTTGTGGGACTTGAAGAGAAGTTTCTACATTTGACAGGAAGGAGTGGTGAGGAGCAAGGCCCGTTGAGCAGAAGGACCGGTAACATAAAATCTGGAGAAAACCCACAAGGCCGAGGCTTAAGAAGAAAACGTAGAAATCATCCCCAGGTGAACGCCAAATGGTGGCGTCCTCACATTAGAGTAACACACGTGTGGGTTTGTTGTCAGCCAGACAGGCTTTGTGTCTTTGAGAGTCGAGGGCAACGCAGGATGAGCTCAGACCGGGTGCCGTCCAGGTCGGAGGTGATGGGGTGGAACCCCCAGCAGTTGGCAGACTACCTGAAGAGGGTGAGGCCTCCAAACACACTCTGTCTTCCTTCTTTCAGCCCACTGAGGTCTTTAAAATGACACTTGAAAATTGACCATGTTCAGCAGTTAAACCTCCATTAGTTCAGCACCCATCCACTGGAGGGCAGCGGAAACAAGTGACCCTGACAGAGCATCAGCTCCGAGGTCCAGCTTGTTAGAAAACACACAGTGGGGGCCAGGGGGGGCCAGGGGGGGGACAGGCCCCCTCTGGAGCGCCCAGTGTCCCG